TTGACAGTAATGGCGACTCATGGGTGAGTGACTTTAATTTTTAAAATTAATTTGCATATTTAATAAAGGCTGTAAACATTAACTTAACGAGTTTATTGTTAAGATTACATACATTAATAAATAATTTTTGGTTAATTATTTAGTCAAATTACTTGTATTAATATACATATAATATGATTATTTTACATTATAATGTTACTTATATTTAATTAATTAAATTTAGGACTATGACCAGCGCATGCAAATACTGCAGCAATCGCAAACGGCATATTTTATATGCATCGTGGTCTGCCAGTGGATGGACGTGATTTGCTCAAAAACACGCAGGGTCTCTATATTTCGCCAGGGAATGGGGTGAGTAGTCTAATTATTTTCTATTAGTTAAATAAGCTCAAACAAGTTACCACATTTTAATTTTATTTGATTATAGCAATTGGGTACTCAATTTCAGCATATGTTTCGAGACGGCACTATGCGTATTTTTCATTTACACACCCAGGGTGAACAATGTTTTAACCCTGGTCCCACCGACACGTGAGTAGTTATATTATTTTTATAAAACACATATATGCAATTTTTTAATTTGTATTATTATTTGATTTATATGACCTAGCTTGGGTATGGCTGTGCGGTTTACCATTCTTTATATATTTGATGTGTTATGAAGAGTTACGTAAATTCTTGATACGTCGGTACCCCGACTCCTGGCTGGGCAAAGAGCTGTTGATTTAGCCATGCTTATTTTACTATTATAGTTCTACTTTTAGTATTATTTTATTGTTAATTTTATGGATTAAATGTTTTGGATGTGCTAGTGTAAGATTATGATTTAAATGTTTTATTCACAAGTCATTTAGCATACCCTTGATAGTGAACTTGCTTATTGTTTTAATTAAAATTTATAATATTTAATGCAATCATTGTCAAGGTACATTTATAGTAATTAATATTTAATATTTATGAGTTTACATTTATATAAATTACACAGCAATATTATTTTCAAATATTTATTAGCCATGTTTTATAAAGTTTTACTGACAAATTTATACTAATACATTTTATGAGATATACAGCCCACATAACATATTATATTGTATGTCGCTAACAATTGTTAATATTTAATTAACCAAGTTTTTAAAGTAATTTTTAATTCAAATATAGCAATTTAAATTATATAAATTTGATTAATGCATATTTTATTTTAAAAATAAAAAATAAGTATTTAAACAGTTTAGTAAAATTATTATTATAAAACATTGTAATTTTTATAATATAATAATCGAGTAAAACTATTTCTACAATAAACAGTAAAAACAGCTTTTTAGATTTTATTCAATAAAGTAAATCAAATAAATTTATATTACATTAAAAAGCGAAACAATAATTTTCAGAAACAACAATAATTACCGTGTGTTTACTTTTGCATGATAACATACTATCAAAGATAAATCAACCAGGTTAATTAATACAATACTTTTGCACTAAAATCCATCAAATTTGATATAAAACTACATTTATAATAATATTATATATCGACAATTGCTTTAATTTAGCAATGTTATTGCAATAATAATAACATGATTACCATATGAGATTATTCTCAACATGATAACTTAGGCATAGAATAATTTAAACAGGTTAAACAATAGTTAGAAATTATTTCCAATTCAATTTCATCTTAATGAAGTAACAATTTATATGTAAAAAACATATAAATACAACATAATATTACAAGTTAAACAACAAAACAATAATCTAAAATTAATTATGTTATCATATTCAATTTATTTAACTGGCTGTTTATTGCTGGCGCACACAGCCTATAGTGCTACAATTAAGCATGGTGAATTATTGGCCACATTGTTTGCCAATGCAGAGGGTCCTGTTCAGGATTTGTATCAAGATCGTTGCTTTAGACTGAGCACCGATGATATAGAGACTTGTATTTACCGTAAGGCACCGAATTGGGACAAAACCAGTCATAACCCGATATACCAGTGCTGTATTAAGTGGCTAACAATGGACTGCGCCCGTGAGCTTCCCATGGTAATTTTTTGAAAATTTGTTTTAATTAAATTAATTAAAATATACATTAAACTAATTTATGTTTTTTATTTTATAACAGCCTTATTGTTCGAATTATGAGTATACGACCATGCTTGGTCTAATTGATCCAGCTATTACTTATTTAAATAATGGCGATTGCAAAGTAAATCAATATCATCCGAAACTTCCCACCTGTAATTTGCCACCTGGTGTTTCTGAGCTAGTTATCTAAAACAACTAATTGTTAATCTTTATTTGTATAAGATAACTATTTAAAAATATTATTTCATTAATTAAATGCAATTAATTCAATATCACACGTGTTTAATTACTCAACAATAAACTTGTAAATTTAATGAATACACAATTTAATATAAATCTCTTTGTAAATTCATTAATAATAATAATTTTATTTAGTTATTTAAAATTGTTAATAAGCAGTGTCAATGTAGTTATAATTCGTGATTTTAATCAATAAGTTATTAGTATAATATGACATTAAAGTACTAAAGTATTAAACATAAAATTATTATTAATATGAGAGATTATTAAAAATTATCAAACATAGATTAATAAACTCCGCATATTAAAAGTGTTTAAATATTGCAAAACTGTTTCATCTCGGTAAAGAAATAATAAATACAAATATAGCTATAAATACAAATAAGTTGTACAACATTAAACAAATTAATTTACTAAATAAACTAAAATGCTGTATACCACAATATTTATTGTTAGTATTTTATTCGTCTCTAACATTGTACATTGTGTGACATTTAAAAAACCTACATTATCCGCCAACAATACAAATGGCCCTGTTCAAGACTTATATAACGATACTTGTTATACTACTAGCAAACAAGAAATAATAGATTGCATTTACCGTAAAGCTCCGGACTGGGACCCCAACATCTCTAACACTATATACAAGTGCTGTATTAATTGGCTAACCATGGACTGCGCTCGTGAGCCACCTAAGGTAAAGTTTATCAATTTTTATTAATTTGTTTTATATATCTAATATGTTTATTTTTATCAAGTTAATTTATATAATTAATCTTGTTGTTTTAGTCCTATTGTTCAAATTTTGAATACCAAACTATGTTGAGTCGAGTTGATGCAGCTATTGCCGATTTAAATAACCACGAGTGTAATGTGTATAAATACTATCCGGAACTACCCACGTGCCATAAACCACCTGGTCAAAATTAATACTATTATTATTAAGAAGTTATTACACTTTAAATATTATATATTAATACATAAAAAATATATTATTTATGTTGTATTTTGTTAAGATTATTATTATTTGAGGTAAATACTAATAATCAATTATAATTAATTTGTTTTGCTTAAATGATACCAAAAATATATTTGCAATAATAACATAGAATAGTAATTTTTGTTAATAAAAAAAGTATATTTATTTGTAAAATTAACTAATATAATATTGATAAATGTTTATTGAATTTGGTAAATTATATCAAATTCATATTTTATATTAAAATCACTTACAATAATATAAATAATATTGTTACTGCACATAAAATATAACTATTTGAGTAATTTTTTTTTTAATAAAAAGAGATTTGAATCATTAGATCCATTAGTGTAACAATAGTGGTTTAATATATACATAATATATATTTATTTTATAAAGTTACAGTATGTAAATTTGAAATAGTTATATAATTTAAATTATATCATGGTCTCAAAAATTATGCTTTCTTAAAACGTAGTAATAAAATACAATAGAAAACATATACATGTATGTTATCTGTAAATATAAAACATTGTTACATAACCAAGTGCATATTTGACAACTACATTTACATCCTAATAAAAGTTATTAAAATTATAAAAGTAAAAGTTTTATAACATATAAACTAAATTTTTAATATTTAATTAGAAAAGTTTTAGTATAAATAAATAACTACAAAAAAATCCAATGACTTTTGAATCGGTGTTAATAACGGGCGCCAATCGTGGCATTGGTCTTGAGTTAGTGCGAGAACTGTTGGCCAACACCGACACCGATGGCGGGCCCACACATGTGATCGCCACTACACGACAGGCCACTAATGCGGCGTTGGATGAGCTCCGGGACCGACACTCAAACCTACATGTCCTACATCTCGAGGCCCAGGACTACTACAGTTACCCTGAGTTTTCCAAACGTGTAGAGGCACTACTGGGCGGGAGAGGGTTAGATACCCTGATCAATAACGCTGGTATAATGGATCGGACAAGTCTTGCTGAAGTGACTTTGGAGCAAATGATCGACAGCTATCACGTTAATGCCCTCGCACCATTTATGCTTATTAAAGCCTTGTTACCACTACTCAAAGTAAGCAAACATAATTAATAAATTAACTAACAAGTAAAACTAATATTTCAACTTAATATTATTTATTAGGCTAGCTCATCCACACGTAAAACAGCTATAATAAACATGACCATGGCCAGCATACCGCCAAAATCACCTAGTCCCTATCCATATCGGTCTAGTAAATCGGCGTTTACCATGATCAGCCAGTGTTTAGCTGCTGATTTAATTGATGACGGTATTACTGTACTTAACATCAACCCTGGTCACGTAAATACTTATGGTGGCGATCCGGACGTTACCATTGATATTGAAACTAGTGGTCGCGCAATATTGAATGTGATTAAAAATGGTGCAATTTATACTTCGGGTACAACTGTAGATGCATTTCAATTATAGAGATTGAATATTTGATAATAATGAATAAATAATATAAATTTTGCCTAATTTTACACAATCTTAAAATTTGTATTAATTTTTAATATTTACAAATGTAATGTTTGTATTTAACTTTTTTATTTTAACTTAATTTTCAGCATTATTATTATGCAGTAAGTTTAATAATTAGACAGTACGATAAAAATATATAATTGTAAATTACAAAATAATAATATATCAAAGATGTTTAAATGTAAACATAGTTACATTATCAATGTCACTAGATAATTGATCAATTTAGTGTACTACGTAAGCGTGCATATTCTGACCTTGATTGAAACAGTTTCAGTGCATTGTTTTTATACAGTATATAAATACTAAAGTTTTGTCTGTATTCTTAAAAATAAAACATTTTTGCAATTAAATTGTCGTTTGATTATTAAAGTAACTTTATATTTAATAATGGACTACAAGTCAGTGTTGATTACGGGCGCCAATCGTGGCATTGGTCTCGGATTAGTGACCGCACTGTTGGCCAAACCCAACGGCGGGCCCACACATGTGATCGCCACTACACGACAGGCCACTAATGCGGCGTTGGATGAGCTCCGGGACCGACACTCAAACCTACATGTCTTACAACTGGACGGTAAACGTTATGAAACTTTTGCCGCGTTTGCCGTTAAAGTGGCTGCAATTGTGGGCGATATGGGAGTGGATTGTCTGATAAACAATGCGGGCATTGCTTTGAAACAACATTTGGCCGACGTTACAGCGCAGGGCATGATTGAAAACTTTGAGGTTAATTCAGTTTCACCATTGATGCTAACAAAAGCATTGTTACCTCTGCTCAAGGTAAAAATATATTACGTATTACTATTATATGTGGTATAGAAAAATTTAGTAATAGTTAAGGGTGGAATATATAAGTCCAATATAATTGTTCATGATACAAAAATAGTTATTTTATAAATTAATATTTTATATTATTACAGTTTTTAATTTTTATAAAATTGTCATTGTATTACTCAATTTTTATGAACACAATATTATAAGGTGAAATAATTTTTATAAAAAGTATTTTATAATTAAATATATCAATATAAACCATAATGTATATTGCTTAACTAATATTTATTAATAATGTCAGTGGAATGTTACACAGCCAAGGTAAATTTAAAACAGATATATAAGTGAATTATTTTAGTGTATCATTCTTTAAAACTGACAGTAAAACTTTAAAATTAACTATAATTATTAATTAACTTAAAAATTAACTATTGTATAATATATAACAGATTTCAGCGGCCAAACAGCGCAAAACAATCGTGATCAATGTATCATCAATGTTGGGTTCAATAGGTTTGATTGGTCAGTATCCGTTCAAATTCTATTATCCGTACCAAACGAGCAAAGCTGCTCTTAATATGATCACCAAATGCTTATCTGTCGACCTTAAAGCACATGGTATACAAGTTATTGGACTTCACCCTGGTCATGTCAAAACTGATATGGCTGGACCGGATGCACCCTTAGATGTGACCCAGAGTGTTTCGGCTATATATAAAGCTGTAGCTGGTATTACCGATGATAATACAGGCAAAACTCTTAGTTTTGATGGCACTGTTGTACCGTTTTAATTAAGATTAATCATGTTCATTAAACATGATCCTGATAAATTTATCAATTGGTTTTAAATAAATTTAAAATATATTAAAATTATAATTTGGTTGTATTTTTTATTGGTATTTTTAACTTTGTAATTATAAATTTTAAACAATCATTTTTTTAATAACAATTAAACGCAAACAATATTAAATATTATATTAAATATTTATCGAATAAATAATTATCAAATTTTTATTTTTTAAATATTGTCACTTAAAATTAAATAAAAAATACATTTATTGTCGAATATATACATCAATTTTATTTATTATGTAAAAACATTGCATCCGTTTATCATTTGTTTAGATTAATGTTAATTTTATAAAATGTTAAATATAATTAACGAGATTTCGTTTGTTACCAATAGGTTTATAGCATAATTTCCAATGTAGAGACAATTTTTCTTAATATCTGTACAGTCTTGATATCTCTCTAGATAATTTTTGTACAGTTTTATATAAAGTTTTTAGTTCTCTCTCTCTCCCTCTCTCTCTCTCTCTCTCTCTCT